TTAGTTCTAACCAAAGGTTGTCATATCTGTATAATAAAACAAACGTAATAAAATTTTAATTATTAAATTTAAAATTAATCGTTTAAATAAATTTTTTTCCTTGAAGGTTAAAATTCACATGCCTAATGTATTATCTAAACAATGATATTTTCAAATTAAAAAAAAAGTCTTAATATATAGAATAAAATATCTATTTCTTTTCTTCCTATAGTTGTATAATAATTTAAAACTTAAAAAGTTGTTTAATAATTTAATTTTTAAAAATAATTTTTTATTTTCAATTTTTAAAACTAAAATTTAGATTAGCTCCTATGGTGTTTTTGTTTTTGATTTTTGATTTCTCTCCCAAAACACTTTGAAGATGTGGAGGATTCAATTTTCATTAATGAGACTTTTGTAAATTAAGTAAAAGTTGGGTTATGGCTCACATAGTCACAACACAGTGTAGTCTCTCGACATCTTCACAGTCACACCCCCTTCTCAGTCGATGCTCACCTTCACAGTCAACACTCACCCTTACAATTAACACCCTTAGATGCCCTCATAACTCAGTCGAGACTCTCATATTGACATCTTTACAACACTGTCGACACCCTCTTAAACCACTCTTATAGCACCATCAACCATCTTATGAGAATGATGAAAGAAATTATGACATAAATTTGATAAGCACTCAAGTTTTTTCTTTTTCTCATCTTGGATTTCTTTTTCACCATTTTTTATTTTGATTTGGATTTGGATTTAGATTGAAACTCTTACTCATAACAAGCACCAACATATTTGAAGAAAAAAAAAAGCTCAAATTTGATTCTTCTCTTCTTGTATTTTTTTTTTTTTTTGTCTTTGTAGCCATACAATTTAACATTATGTATGAGTTTAAATGTTGTGTGATTTGAGTGTGGTAATGAAAGCAAAGATAAAGGTTCAAATTAGAACTCTAAGAAGGGTAAGATTTCTTTGACAAATCCTTATTGTTTTTAAATGCTCTATCTATTACCTTAACTATAAGTTGCAGCTGATATGATTTTATCAATTAGACATAATCTTTGTCAATTGTAGTTGTTAGACTTGACCATTAAACTTTAGTCATGTGCTCAATTTAGTTTTATTGAAATTATAAAAAAAATGGATTTGTATGCTATCAACAATTGGGTTTTTTGAAGTTTTGACATTAATGTTTGCTTATTTTTAATATTTCTTTATGATAGATGACAACTAATGTTGATAACAATGAGTCAAAATGTTGGCCTGACTTTGTTGTTAAGGCTTTCATTGATATTATAATTGCTGAAACCATAAAAGGAAACATGCCAAATGGTGCGTTTCACTCTAAAACATGGAATTCAATGACTATGAAGTTAAATTCCATAACAAATCGTTCATATAAATCAAAACAATTAAAGACAAAAATCCACAAACTATGAGCTATTTATCATGAATTTTCTCTACTTTTGCAACAAGTTAGATTTGGATGGAATGCAAAAACCAACACTATCACTACAAGTGAAGAGGTATGAAAAAATTATCTATGGGTATTATTTAATTTAATAGTTAATATTTTTTTTTTCTATTTAGTACAATAATTAATAGTGTATTGACTATTTGTTTATATTATTTTAGGTATATGATAAAGCTGCTCAATTTCAAAAGAAAAGATATAACCATTATAAGTTATTGGGAATGATATTCAATAGAAGTACTGCAATAGGAGTACTTCATTATTCATCTACCCAAGATCCACCAAATACAGATTAAAAAATGAGCTCGAAAATCAATACCTTAATAGTAGAGTTATGTAAATGTTGATAATGATAACTTAGATGATGACACAGTAGAAGTAGAGCGCATCATATGTAGTGAAAAATACACAATTTATGCAAAAGATCACAAATCTAAGAAAGAGTTTAGGGCATTACAAATGGGAGAGACACTTGCAGCATGGGTTGAAGCATCTGAGGCAAAAGTTGGGAAGTATAAGGCTTGGAGTATAGAAGCTACTTCTTCACTTTTTACACCAAATCATTCTATTACTAAGTGTGTGGCTGTTCTCGAAGAGATTGAAGGCATATGAGATGACATTTATGTGAAAGCCTTAGAAAAAATTAGGAAGCTTGATTGGAGGAAAATGTTTCTTGTCATGTCTATAATTAGGAAAAAAGCTTTAAGGATAAAATTTTAGACATCTTTTTAGTATCTTTGTTTATTATTTTTATGATTATATTTTTAATTTGTGGTGAACATTTATTTGTGTGTTTTTATGAACTACTTTGCATTTTAAGTTATGTTATTGCACTTTTATTATATAATTTTCATTGAATATCTTTTTTTATCAATGCTTTTTTTTATTGTGTGGAATTATATGACATGTTATAATTATATGGATATTGATAAAAGTGATGATTCTTCTTCTAATTTAAGTGATAATGAGTTAGTTGAGTTTCTTTTAATTAACATACTTTATGATTATGATCATAAATTTCTGAGCAAAAGAAAGGTTTGAACATCTGCATTGAATAATCGTGATTATACTCAAGAGTTATTAAATGGATCTAGTACTTTGAGTTACTTTGAATGAATAAGGATTGGTTTGTTAAGTTTTGTGACGAGTTGAGGGTCAAGAGCTACTTAAGTGACTTAAGGAATGTGCTTCTTGAAGAGAAGGCTACTATGTTGTTATTTATAATTGACCATGATGTTTGCCATAGAGTTGCTGCAAGCTTTCAGTACTCAACAAAAATAATTTTTCGTTATTTTAAGCAAGTATTAAGAACAATGTGCTTGTTGAGAAAAGAGCTGATAAAACAAGAATCTATAGAATTGTCTAGTAAGATTAGAAATGAGTCAAAATATTATCATTATTTCAAGGTATGTGTGTAATACTTATTTATTATTTTAATTAGTTTTCATTTTATTCTTTTATTTTATCTTGTTTAATTTTTTTATTTTAGCTTATGGTTATAGAACTGCAGAGATGCAATTGATGGTACTCATATAAGTGCACGAGTTTCTGTTGAAAAATAAATTGCATATAAAGATAGAAAGATAACTATCATACAAAATGTTATGTGTACTTGTGATTTTAATATGATGTACATTCGTGTATTTAGGATGAGAAAGAAATGCACATGATTCAAAAGTTTTTTTTTGGATACAGTTACCAATCCAAATGCAAATTTTCCATGGCTATCTAAAGGTGAGTATTTATATTATAACTCAACTATTTTTAATTAATAAAAAAATATTCATAAATATATATTCTATGTGATGTAAGTTTGTTCTCTCTTGTTAATTCTGACTGTCCATATAGGAGTGATTTACTTCTCCTTTGTAAGGAAGAAAGGTATCATACACAAGAATATAGAAGCTAAGCCAGGCAACTAAGAAATCTTACAAAGTTATTTAACTACAGACACTCTTCTTTGAGAATGATCATTAAGCATTTTTTCGTAATTTTAAAAAATATGTTTCTTATTTTGAAGTTGATACCTTTATATAAACTTTCTAGGCAAAGACTCATAATAACAACATGTTATGTTATTCATAATTACATATGGAAGTGGAATTTGAATGATGATTTATTTAAGATATGAGAAAGAATAGATTCTATAGGAATTAAACATGAGAATAAAAGTTTAAGTATGAAAGAAACTAGCTCCATCATAATTTAGAACTAGCTCTATCATAATTTAGTCAAATTATGTGATAAAGGTGCACCTGAGATGACAATATTTAGAGATTATATTACAAATCAAATATAGACACAATATAGTAATTAGTTAATATTAATTTACACATATATATTTACAAATAGTTATATTTTACATTGTAGGATTTGTTCTTAATCTATTGTATGTGTTATTTACTCTTTTTTTGTGATATTATCTATTCATACTATTTATTTTTTTATTAAAAATAATTTTAATATTAAAATTAATTATTATTTTTTAGTCTAATATTAATTTATTTTGTAAAATTTGTTATTTATAAAACTCTTTCCATTACAAGTATTACTTCAATTTAATATTAAATTTTGATGTTTTACTAATTTTTTAATTCAATGTTTCCTTTGAAATATCAAAAATATATTTAATTAAATAAAAAATACTAAAATTAAATATCAAATATATATATATATATATATTCATAAAATAAATAAAACCAAACACAATTTTTAGTTTTAAAATTTTTTAAAAACAAATTTATCAAATAAATTTTCTTATTTTCTCATCTTAAAAATAGTTTTAACAACTAAATTACTAAATAAATTTTATTTTCATTTTTTTCCTAAAGATAATTTATAAAATTATTTTAAAATATAATTTTTAAAAATTAAAAAATAAAACTAAATCAAACAAGTTTTATGTTTCTTAAATTTAACTTTTTTGAATTTAAAATCGAGTCCACGCTAAAAAAATTATAATATCGAAGATCATTTTGAAAAAATAAAATAAAATAACGTCTTTCTCGACGATCATGAGATGCGATTTTCGGACTCTCATGTTGCCCTGACACGTGTCCTCTCTAGATAATTCCGGAAGAAACACGCACTGAACACGCGTTTGAATGCACTTGTCAGTTATATTCCCAAACTTACACCGCCCACAGACCAAAATCTTGTTGAAAGTGACCCAAGAAAAAACGTACATACTCCATACTCCATACATAAGTACAAATCGCGAGTATTATACACAAATACGACAACATTTAGCGATAAAAATTAAAAGCCCATATATACGATTGATAGAATAAATATCATAACACTAGAATATTCGAGTCATAAATATCCTGTTGTAAGAATCGAAAGTTGCTTTCAAAAGCAAAAAGATGAAACTTCCTACCAATTGCTTCGTAGACTTGGATCATTCTCATCCACATCATTAATATTATGTGTTATTATCGATTTTTTTTACGCTAATTTCTTGCACACATAAAGTTGGTCCCACATACATTATGCGTGTGTGTGTATATATAGACACTTCAGCTCTTGCACATGTATGAGCATATAACTGTTGCGAGCTTTGACTAATAAGAAATACCAAAAGCTTGAGCAGAGACCAAAGAATTTACAATAATCATATACCCTTTTGTGCTTTGTGCCAAAATGTGTTCCCTAACACCCAGTGACTTGCAACGGATTTTTGAGAAGCTGGACATGAATGGCGATGGGATTTTGAGCCTTGAGGAGCTGAACGTGCTATTAGAGAAGACAGGCTTCAAGTTTAGCATAGAAGAATTGGAATCTCTGGTGGGAAAGCAGGTCTTGGACTTCAGTGAGTTCTTGTTCTTTTATGACTCCATGTTGAAGCAAAACAATGAGGAGGAGAAAGAGACTAAAGGTGAAGGTTGTGTTGAGATTGAGGAGGTAGAAGGGGACCTTGTGAAGGCTTTCAAGGTATTTGATTTGGATGGGGATGGGTTCATCACTAGCCATGAGTTGGAGTGCGTGTTGAAGAGGCTTGGCATGTGGGATGAATGCAGTGGCAAGGATTGTAGAACAATGATTTGTTCCTATGACACTAATTTGGATGGCAAGCTTGATTTCCAGGAATTCAAGGACATGATGCTGCTTACAACTTCATGATCGTCTAATTTTGCTCCAATCGATCATTATGTCGTGTGTGTCAGCTTCTACCTGGCCATACATTTTGTGTGTTTTATTGTTGTATATAAATTATATTAGTTGCAATATATCTATTGCTACTGTTATTGGTACTGCACGTTAATTGAAACTGTTAATATAAAACTCAAGTTACCTCACTCTTAAATTAACGACTCTTTTCCATATTTCGATGGTTTTTAATAAATTTTAATATTTAATTAAAAAGTGTATTAAAATTAAAAAGTGTTATTCCTCTCAGTATTTTGTAGGCATGTATATTAAGATACAGAAAAGAGAATATGAAGATCCACTAACTCTTGGAGCATGGTACATAACAGAGCACAATGCTCATACGCGAATATCTGTATGTTCTCAAATTCAAGTATGCTTCTTATTGATAATTTTTATGTATATTATTTTCTAAGGAAAATATTTAACGGGGAAAACTAGCGATATTCTATATTGGTCCTCGAAGTACTGAACGACAGTGATTAATTTTGTAAGTCGTTAAAAAAAAAACAAAAAAAAAAGGGCCATCACAGGATAGAAAAATCTAATTTTTGAAGTAGCTAGGAAAGAAACTTGCGAAGGAATATTTGCAGTCATAGGCGCGAAAGACACTGCACGGAAAATTGAAGAGCGGATTGACCTAGCTTTGTTTTTTTAAAATTGAAGTTAAAACCATCAAATGATAAAAAAATTTCTAAACCCTTGGGCGGTGCGTACGTGGCACCAATGTCACGGTGATGTGCTGATCTATATAAAAGACAGTGTGTACCGTACGAGACGTTCTCGTCTGGACTTAATTTTGACTGTATTAGGGATGCAAGTGTCTCTAATAGCCCTGTGCCTGATCAGGTTAAATTTAAATTTAAATTTTTTAAAAATGTTTAATTAATTGAATAGCATAAGTTTCAACTTAATTTTTTTTATCAAGCTTACTTTTTTTAGTCTATTTAAAATTTATTAATTTTATAATAATATATAACTATTTTTTATAAAAATTATAATATATTTATAATATTATATTAAAAATTAAATTTTACAGTAAATAAAATTTAAAATTTTATAATATTATATATATATAATTTACCGCCTATCTAAAACACACTTATTTATATACTAAATTAAATTAAATTCTTACAAAAATTAAGTCAAATTCAATAATTTTTTTTAATAAATGATAACTTATAAAATTCAAAATTATTAAATAAGTTAAATATACTTATCTAAAAATTTAAGTTATTTCTTTTCTTGTTTATATATGGTTAATATTCATGGAACTGAATCGGTATCATATATAATATACGTACTATTGTTAGTATTCAGTAATTTTTACTATATTAATTTTATTTAATAAAAGTTTATAACTTACAAAAAATATTAAACTATTTATTATAAATTATATGAATTTGAAATTAATTATCATCGTTGACATATTAAAAAATTTTCATAAATCATTTTAAAATGAATTAATGGTTTGATATTTTATTAAAATGGATTGTAATTTTTTAAAATAGAAAATAAATTGGCATCTATTTCATTTATTTATGCTTAAAGTTTAAAACACTATAAATTACCATTTTTTTTACTAATACTTATTGTTATATAAAAATTTAATTATGATAAATAATATCTTTATATTAATTGAGTACTATAAAATCCATAATAAATGATATAGTAAAACAATATATGAAATATTTACTATTAAAATAATTAAATTTCTTATTTTGTATAATTTTGTTGACAAATAAATGAAAATAATATATTTTAAAATTTTTTCAAAGGGTAGAAATTTTTATAATAACTACTTAAGGCTTTTAGGATACACCTTACATATTTATCATCAAGTTGAAAATTTTGAAGATATATACTAAATATTATATGAAAATTCAATGTGATCTGAGCAGAGAGAAATCTCCACCATCCACAAGGGGGAAAAAATCCTGTGGGTAAGGTATCCCGTTTGCGCCGCAGCAGAATCAGGATTTTGCGTCTGGGTATATAACTACACTCTTTAATCATCTCTCTCTCACTTCGTTGGGATCCGGTACTGTGAATTTCTTTGTAGTGTTTGTGGCTTTGTGCCCTTAGAGAATGGAGAACTTCACTATGTCGCATCGTGATTGCTTCAACCATTCACTTTCAAATCCACACCATCCTTCGTTCAGGTTTCTCTTCTTCTTCACCTACACCCTGTATTTTTATTCCCTAATGAAACTTTTGAAGTGCTATTTCAATTGCTGCTGCGATACTTATGATAAACTGCAAATAAATACGACTAATGCAACCGAAATTAGTAAGATTACGGTGGCCATGTAAATTCCGAAATTTTAATTTCGGATAAAGAAATTTGAATACGGGTATGTATTTCGCACAGATATGGGACGAGATACCACAAATTTTAAATTGGTACTTTCCTCTCAACTTTGGTCCTGCAAATGTTCGAATATGACACATAAAAGCAACTAGTGTAGCCACGTTGACCAACACATGATATTTGTGGATCCTTTTGGCAATGATACCATATTCATTACATATGCACTAAGTTTAGGAATCTAGTGCTTTATGATTACAACCATACTTCTTATTAATTATGCACATTTTTTAGTTTTTGCATTCAATTAAAGGCCTTCCATAGTGTCCTCCAGATTAGGATTGCTTAGGCTAGCCCATGTGAGCAATTGATGAAGTAATTGAAAATGGAAATATATGTTAACCTCCGTTTCTCTTGTCTGGCTTCCTAGGCTTTACTCCGAAGTTTTAAGCCTTAGTTCAGCAACGGTTTAGATTGTAAGTAAGAAAGAACCATGCTAAGTTCAACTAATGGCTACAACATTAATTATTCTTAACTCTATATTTTGGAAGTTGGGTTTAGAAAAGGAGAGGAAGAAAAAGGTAAGAAGGATTTCAATCTTGTTTAGAAGTTTTTTATTTAGGAAGGTAAGAGTTTTAAGGCTTTTTATAAACTCCTTAAAATCCTTTCAAAGTTAAATTGTTGAGTTTCTCAATTTGGAGAGGTTTTTTTTTCTTTTACTCTCTTATATTATTTTTTTAATATTAATTTTTTAAATAATAATTTTTAAAAAAATTTAAAAATATTAATTCTAAAATTATTATATTTTAAAAAAATTATTTTTTATTTTTATAAAAATAAAAAATAAAAATAAAAAATGTAAAATATAATAATATTATTTATATAATTAAACATTCTATTATTTTATTTTTTAAATATTTAACAAGACAAGAGAAAAAATTAACCTCTTTTTTTTTCTTTCTAAACCCTAAACCCTAAACCCTAAACCCTAAACCCTAAACCCTAAACCCTAAACCCTAAACCCAAACATATTATTAAAAGCATTTTTAACTTTACTTTGAAGTTTTTTATTTTAAAATATTGAAAACTTTTGTACACAGGTGATAACGATTTTTTATACAGGAAAGATTTCATAGTGGTAAAAATCAGCTTCTACTTCTTTATATTCAATATTTAATAGAAGAAGAAACTCAAATAAATTATATAGTTATTTATGGCTTAAAGCCACCTTTGACAATAATTTTAATGAGTTGCTTATCTCGATTATATAAAAGAATGTATAAACCAAGGGGCTTATCGAAGCAAATAAAGAGAAAATTATTTATATATTTTTAAATTATTTTTATAATAAGAAATCAATGGACGAGTCTAAAAGTATTTGCAAAAAATTGAGAGTTTGAGTATTAAAATTGAGGGTTTAAATAAATTTAAGTTTTTTTAACTTGTAATTCATGGACGCTTGGAACGAGCTAGCTCACAGACTGATTGATGTTTAAATTTTTTTAAAGTAAATATATTTTTAAGGTAATATTTATTTTAAATTTATATTGTTATTTAAAAAACTAAGAATATTAATTTATTTTATGCTAAAATTTATTGACATAATTCTAAATAACGATATTGAGGAGGATGAGAAGAAAGTTATTGTAATTGAAAATACAAATATTTCTTAAGGAGGTTGATATAATTGAGAAATTAGTTGAAATATTTATTTTTATATTTGAGATTATTAAAAGTATTTATTTTAGTTTTTTAAGATGAAGTAATTTGATTATATTTTTATTTTATATTTATTGGACAGATATTCAATATTTTAAATTTTAATATATTTTAGAAGATATTGTTAACACAATCTTTTATTTTTAATATATATAAAGATTAATTATACTTTTAATCTTTATACTTTGATGAATGTATAATTTTGATTTTACTATTTTGATTATTCATATTTAGTTATTTTAATTTTTTTTAGAAGTTTAAATTAAATTTTCTATCTCAAAGTTTTATTTACTTTTTAATAAAATTTTTATTTAATAATTTTCATTGATTTATTAAAAAAAGTAAATAAAAATTATAAAATATTTCAAAAATATAATAAAATAGTTTTATTTTATTTTATTATATTTATAAATTTTAATAAATCAATGATATATTAGCATTTTAAAAAAATAAATACAAATTCATTTATTTATGTCAATTTATAAAGAAATACACATAAAATATTTTAATATACATTAAACTTATTTTTTATTATAATTTTTATATTTTATATTTTATTTTTATTTAAGTATGTTGAATATTTTTTATTTTGTTATAAATTAATAATATGTTATATCTTTATTATATTTTTACTAATTTATTAGCCAAAATTCTAAGATAAAATTTTAATTTAACTATTTAAAAAATTAGAAGAACTAAATATAAATAATTAAACTGATTAAAATTTACATATATTAAAATATATGAACGAAAAGTGTACTTTATTCTAAAGGTTATAAAGCGAGTCGCACCTAATAGCTCAAATTGAAAGTTTTATTACTAAATAGAATTTATCCATGTTTCCTAACTTGGCATGGTATTTGAATAATATTTACATTGAAAATAGGCACCGCAAGTTGCCTAATAGATCCAATAATATTTAAATTTAACACTATTATATATCAACAAGTCTTAATTCCTGAAAATGGTATATTTTTATATTTTCTGTCATATAATGTCATTGTTACTTACTACTTTTAGGTGAAATATATATATATATATATATATATTATCTTTTTAGTTATATTAGAAGTATTACCCATTTTTAATAGTAAAAGTATGTAAATATATTAATATTTAAATTCAGTTGCATAGGATAGCATTTTTCATATGTAAAATTTTATCAACTTAATTTATTTTTATTTAATATAATGAGCTATGAACTATTATTAATAAAAACTTATTTTTCTTAAAATTTATAAATTTTAAAAAGGCTGTGTAATATGATTTTAAATTTTAAATTATATTAATTCAATAATATTAGTGTATTTAATATATTATATATAATAAAGTTCATAAAATTTTTAATAAAGATAATATTTACATTAATTTTTTATGTATAATTTCTCATAAATAAAAGAATTCTATTTTGATTTTCATTTTTATTTTTTAATTTAATTATTAATGACTTCAAAAAGTTACAA